AGATAGATAGATAGATAGATAGATAGATAGATAGATAGATAGATAGAGAACAGCCCAGGTCATCCAGCTGGCTTTCATGACTAAGGCAGGACTAGACCTCTCAATATCCTGGTTTCTAGGTTGACGCCTTTACCACTACACCATATGGGCTCTCTATGGACAAACTTTTTAAATAGTCATTTCTCTAGTCAATTTAGTTTTGATTTCATATTTCAAAAGAGGATGCAGGACTCACTGGGTAGAGTGAGTCTTTGAATAAAATAATTTGAAACTTGGCTATCAATTTGGGCCATTTCCCCCTTCAATCCAGGCTCTAATGAGAGTAAGGACAGAAAGGCCTAATTCAATGTATTATTTCTTGGATATTATTAATCATGGTTTATAAAACACAAGCAAATTTTGCGTCCATGTCTTCCTCTCTTGCTTTTCTTTCCTACCTGGTAGTTTATTTGAGACTTGCATTATATCAATATTTCTTATTGTATCTGAACTTTAGAACTTTGACTAGACAATCCATGCCCCATTGGGTCATCCTTTTAGACACATTTCCTTACAGAAACAGACCAACAGAATGACTGTGAATAATTCTGTTAAACAACAACAACAACAACAACAATGGGGGAGAGAGAATAGCCCAATGTCTAAGGTGGGACTAGAATTCATAGTCTCCTGGTTTCTAGCCTGGTGCCTTAACCGCTAGACCAACTGACTCTCTTATACTTTAAATCCCCCCCCTCCACAAAAGGGTCCACATTTTCAGGGGTGCACTGGAGCATATTGTTTATTGACATCAATGAGTTTTTAAACAGCTTAATTTTGACCATGGCCGTAGTTAATGAAGCTGCGATCAAAGGGTTGAACTCACCTGCTTCATATATAACGTATGTCTCCTTAACCTAATGTAGAGCACACACAATCCCTATAAATGCAAACGAATGGCTTACATGGTTTAAATTAGGGCTAAGGCTCTCTATGTAAATTTTGGAGAGCAATTGAATAATGTGGATTGCAGTCAAAACAAGCAACTGTTTCCTCGTATGTATTTAAATTGAGGCAGTTTAGGTTTCAGCTACTTAAATGCCAGTGGACCATCATTTGGTTTCACTTTGAATCAGAAATAAAATGCACAAAATGCACTCTGCCTTCCCATGACACTGTACATTCTTTTCCATTAGAGCTGTAATAAATGTTCAAAGGGTAAGGTTTTGATTTAATTTGCCTTGTCATTCTCATTTATTTTACTTGAAAATTACAAATGAGTATGGCCACGACACAAGGATGTTCTCTTGTGACAACCTATCAAGCTCTGTAGTGCTCCAAAGTGGGCTGAGTTCATTTTATTCAGGACGGTGAAAGGGAACTTCCTGAAGAAATGGATCCTAGAGGGCATTTGTTTTCACTTTTAAAGCTGTTTCTGGTTCCCTAATTGGGTCTGCCTTTCCCTCTCACACTCAAACAAGCCTTCGATTTCTGATAACACAAATGTCCTAACTTTGTCTCATTGTTTGGGCACCTGACTACGCTTCAATTGCACTGCTTGAGACAATAGTACCATAGAGTAGAATAATGTAGATGGGTTGCGTGCACCCCACATTTGAAGCGATTGGGTAAGAAAATACGAATTCTGTGAATGCTCTATGATTTATCTGACCTAAACGAGTTTTGCACACTGAATAGATGGGTAAATACGCTTAACTTCTCTTAATTTATCCTGTCTTTTGATAGCCGTGGAGAAGAGCCGTCCGTGGTGCTGACAGTTTTATTCTGACCACCAGGCCTTCTGCTCAGTCTCATCTCTAATTGTAAGATATGTGTCAGCGCTGCATCTTTGATTTTCAGTGTGTTTTTGCTGTTTTAGCTCTTTATGCTTTAGACATTTTTTGCCTGTAATGTATTTGAACAGAACTCTAGTCCGTTCAAAATTCTATATTTGTTGAGCGGGAATACAGGAAGGAATCTTGAAGCAAATATAAAGAATCCTAAGCTATAACTTATATAAATTAAACACTTTCACAAGGTTTTCCTTCAGTACTTATTATCACAAATGATCTAATCTAGTCTTGTCTGCTCTGAATGTTGTTTTCCCAGGAGAGCATATTATCTGCTTTAAATTCAGCTAAACTAATTTTTCTTTCTTTCTTTAAGAGATGTACAATTAGCAAAGGGTTAGCCTGATCCATGACTTACTTACTTGACATAAATTCATAGAACTAAAGGGAAATGACCATTTATTTCAGTTTTGTTTCTTCTAGATCTAGGCTTTTGCTAACACATTTCATCCTCTTTATCTTTCATATGAATACATTTAAAAATTAAAAATATATATTTATTTTATGTGTAAAATTTATCATTGGGACTGGCACGGAGAACACTTTCCATTTCACTAATACTCTGCTGGAACTTATATCTCTGTTCAGTGGAAAATGCTTTCAGTGTGACACAGCAGTGCTTCTAATCTGTCTAAAATCTATTTGCAAATTCATTAATACCAAAAACAACAACAACAACAACAACAACAACAACTCAGTGATGTTACTATGCAAACTCACTTGTTGCCCAGTGACTAGAAGGATGGAGCCTTCCTTCCCATGTACCACTTGCCGATAAATATGATCTAGAATTAAGAGTTCACTCCAGCAGTTCTGAAGGAGCTTCATTTGGTCATCAACCTATATACCAAAACAAAGAAACAAACAAAAGAATACCTTGGGGTTATTGCTGTTGCTCTCTTTTGATCTTTTTTTTAAAATCATGCACTTTGACCACCATTTAAAGAGGACAAAAAAAAAAAAAAACCCCCACATTGGGAGAAACTTCCATATAAATTCTCTCATGCTGCTGCTGTAATACCTTGCAACTGTATTAGTAAGTTTTACTGCAATTGCCCATTCTGCGAAAGCATTTATTTTCTACAAAAGGGCACTGAAATTGAGGTAAGACTTTAAAGCTGAAATCATTTTCCCAATTGGGATAAGTCCTATTGAATTTTATAGGTCTTTTTTTCCCCTGAGAAGATACAGACTTCTATTGCAGTATCATGAGATGGATGGATACTAGGTTTTTGTGAGAGTTCATATTTCCTGTCTACAGCCTTTTTACCAATTTTCAGCGGGTTATTTTTGTATTTTCCCCTACTGAACAAACTTTGGCATTCAGCGGAGTCTGCTTAGTCTTCTCTGTTATGCAAGGATGTACTGTGGAAGTAATGCCACTGATAGCCAAGCAGGAGAAGGAATTATCTTTTTTCTCTGAAAATAAATCTATCTTAGAACTAGTTCAAGGTAGCTAATAAGATCAATAATGAAAACCACAAAAATGATTCAAATTGCAGAGGGACACAGCATAAAACAGAAATAAACGATATACTGTAAAAATGACATTGAAAGGAAGAATTAATGTAAATTAATATCTCAAAAGACCAATATAAAATAGCATAATAAATCCCCAGCATTTTCATTACAAGCTCCAGCTTTTTATCTCACAAATCAAAGATCATCCTGAAAAAGAAACAGACTTTGCCAACCAATAACATTTCAAAACAGACCGGACAAGTTGAATTTCCTTTAATGAATCAGTTATTCTTGCATGCCTGCTAAATGTAAACAAGTTGTGTTAATTAAGCATTAGTTTCAGAAAAAAACACAACTTATTTTACTAAAGTACTTTTGTTCTAGGTTTGTATGTAACATAATTTGTGGTTTAAGGGATGATCTATTTAAAGATCAGTATTTCGTAGTTTTGTAAACCTCTTTAAAAATTGACTTCAGTAAAATGCCGTGTAAACATAAAAATAAAAATCAGAACGAAGTTTCTATAATAATAATAATAATAAAAAGAGAACTTAAGGAACAATGTGTAACCCTATGTGAAAATTTTCATATGAACTTTAAAAGTGAAATTACTGTTTGGGATTTTGTGAATGCATTGGTTTGGCCCAACCAATGAAATAAGGGAAGAAAGTGAAAAGACAAATCAATTAAAACATAAGTAACGTAAAAATATGATTGATAAAAAGCAACAATATTTGTCAGACATATAAAATTTTAGTAGAGACATAAAAATACCACTAATATTTTATTTTTAAAAATTTAACTATAAACTTTTATTTTGTAATGTGCTTTATATCTACTTTCCAAAATGATTAAAATATATTGATTAAAAATGGACATCTTTATTGCTCTTTTAAACTGTTTTTATCATTAGACTTAATATTTGTAAGAAGCATAGAGTCTTGTACAAGTGGGCAGTTGCTGAGATTGAACAGTTTAATAAATAAATATTAGTCATGTATTTATTTAGTTGTTTGTTTATTTATTTACATAGTGCTGAAGCTCAGTACTTATCTTTAAAGTTGTAGTATTATATTTGTGTGTGTGTGTGTGTGTGTGTGTGTGCATGCATGCATACGTGTATGTATTTATTTTCAGAGAGAGCCATAATGTTATTTAGCATTTTAGAGATTCACAGAATCAACATACCTTTTCCCAAAGGAAATTATTAAACAATGGAAATATGACTTTTTCACAGACATATAAATATTCCTGTTGGTATTTGAATATACATATCTATCCTGGTGTAATGTGTATTTTTATACAGAATGCAGAAGTATCATCTGGTAGCATTAAGTAGAGTTTTAGGAATGGTTACTATAGCAGTAAACCTAAGATTCAAAATAGGGTCACTCAGCTCTCCACTATTTAAGCACTGGATCTGCCTTGTGGCACTTTAATGCAGCATCATAATTAATTGCAGAAGGTGGCAGTCAATAAAGGAAGCTGTCATAGCGTCTCATGAGGAATTGAATCAAACACTGCTTCTAGATCTGTAAAAATGAAGTAAAAGGCACCTCCATTTAGTACACTTCGAAGGGAGACTTAGTACACTTCAAAGAGAGGTGGTACAAAGTGATACATTGATATATGATGGAAAACTGTGATCTGAAGATAGCTTCTTCCATTGCTGGAATTCTTTCTTGAACCATCCAATCAATTATAATTATTAATAATAATTATAATAAAATAATTATAATTATATAAAATTATAATTATATAAATATAATTATATAAAATTAAAATTTTATATAATTATATAAAAAAATAATTATAATAAAATAATAAATAATTAGAAGAGTTCTCCACTCTTCTACTCGTTGTAGAATACCTTATGCCACCAGACTTGAAATTCTAGAACTAGAAAACCTTGAATTACGCCGTCTTCGGTCTGACTTAAGCATGGTATATAAAATCATACATTGCAATGTCCTACCTGTCAATGAATACTTCAGCTTCAACCATAACAACACAAGAGCACACAATAGATACAAACTCAAAGTAAACCGCACCAAACTTGATTGCAGGAAATACGACTTCAGCAATAGAGTGGTCAATGTCTGGAATACTCTACCCGACTCTGTAGTCTCTTCCCCAAACCCCAAAAACTTTAACCTTAGACTGTCTACTATTGACCTCACCCCTTTCCTAAGAGGTCTGTAGGGGGCGTGCATAAGCGCACCAACGTGCCTACCGTCCCTGTCCTATTGTTTCTCTTATTCTTTTATTTTTCTTATATGTACCCATTTCATGTATTCACAACTATGTATACACTTATACTTATTATCTTGTAAACAATTGGCAAATCAAATAAACAAATAAATAAATAAATAAATTTTACAAGCAAGAATTTTGTATCCATAGCATTTAAAACCTTTAAAGCTAAAATGACAAGGCTCTTGCTGTAAGATAAGAGATAAGATAAGATAACCGTTGTTATTGGTTTTTTTTACTGTGAGCACACTGGGACACATGCTACACACACACAGACACACACAAACACACAGACACACATATCCATCCATATATATATATTAACCACTGTCCATTTTGAATACAGAGCAGAAAGAGGAGACTTAGAATCATAGAATAACAGAGTTGGAAGGGACCTTGGAGGTCATCTAGTCCAGCCCTCTGCTCGAACAAAACTGTGACTGAATCTAGATCAGGGGTTCCAAACTCGTGATGACATGTTATCGTCACCTGACGTATTGCAACTTTCTCCCTTTTGCTAAATTGGGGGTGGGTGTGGCCAGCACATCTGCCCTGTGGGCCACGAGTGTGACTTCCCTGATCTAGATGTTCTCTTTCAGATACCACGAAGCCTGCTCCCAAAAGGTAACACAGAAATCAAGTCACGAAGTAGCGTGTAGCGTCCCAGACAATCTTGCAGACCCTGCTCAAGCATTTCTTATATGCTTTGTCCTGGTTAGAAGGAAGTGAACTACCAATAATCTTTTCTGCCATCCTCACCACTCTCTGCACTGGTTGCTATATCCTGTGTAATATTATGCCTATAAGGCTACTTATATGTTGGAAGCTGCTCAGTCTAAATCAGGGGGCTCCAACCTTGGCAACTTTAAGACTTGTGGACTTCAACTCCCAGAATTCCTCAGCTGAATGAAGTTGCCAAGGTTGGAAACCTCTGGTCTAAATAATGTTCAAGTCTCTACTTTGACCTCCCTGCATTGCAGCTAATGCAATCCCCCAGTTTGAACTTGGCTGCTTTTCAGTTGAGGCTGAATTATTACTCTGCTGGCTGAAGTACAGGCTTAAACAAACTCAGGGCAGTCTGTGTTGAATCTTGTCTTATTAGTTGAATCTTGTCTTAGTTTTGTAAGCAGATACAGCTCCCTGGAAGTAACAAATAATGGATAATCTGGCTCATTGTGGGCTCACTCCAGTCTGTATCTATGCTAGGATTGAATAAAGTTGGGAGAATGCTCAGGCAAAGAATGACCATTTTATAAAGAGATAGAATCATTATTCCCTAATATTTATATCATTTATTGATTCAGGCTTTTACATTGACACATCTAAATCATACTGTTGGGTAGATTCAATTGTATTCTTATAGAGAACATGTATGTGTTTACTGAGATTCTGAAATTAAAACATTAATGCATATATTAATCGCCCCTTTGATTACAAAATACTTAGATAGTTCTCACAAGCACTATTTATTAAATGAACAGGATGCATCTATGGTCTGTGGTCTGAGACTATATATTTTAATAAACAAAATGAATTAGAATTAGATTAGGAATTAGGAATTTCATTTTATGTAAATAATCAAAGAAATGGTTTCCAATATTAGTAAGTCAGAGATAAAATTCATAGCAGAGTCCAATAACTTTCATTTTGTTTGAACAATTATTTTAAAATAACTCATAACAAGGAAGATCAGATCTCTCTTTGTGGTTTATCATTCTCCAGACATGTTATATGAATATTGAATTCTATAGTTTATATTTGAAGTCACTTTTAGAGAAGGCTGTTGAAAATGTTAAACATTTGACAATACCTATAACAAAACAACAAAAGCAGCAGTTCTAGCACTCATAGTATTAAAATATGGTCTGAAATTCAAGCATCTATTTATGATCTATTTCTTGCATTTAATAGAATAGATTACAGGTAGTCCTGTATCACAATTGAGCCCAAAATTTCCATTGCTAAGCAAGACAGTTGTTAAGTGAGTTTTGCCCCATTTTATGACCTTTCTTGCCAGTTAAGTGAATCATTGCAGTTGTTAAATTAGCAACCGTTACAACTGTGAGCCAGTTCCAAGCATCCGAATTTTGATCACATGACCATGGGGTGTTGCAACAGTTGTGTGA